GATGCTGGTTTCTTCCTTACCCATTCATCTCCATATTTTGTACAAGGGAACAGTCAAGCAGAAGCTAGCAACAAGATTATCAAGAATATCATGAATCGTCATATCTCCGACAATCATAGGGCTTGTCATTCTTTGTTGCCACAATTTTTGTGGGCTTATCGCATCTCCAAACGTGGTGGAACACATGCTACACCATATGAGTTAGTTTATGGTCATGATGCAGTAGTCTCAATTGAACACTTAATTCCATCTCTCCATATTACCAGTCAACATCCGATTGATTTTGTCAAATATAATCTGAGCGTGCAAATTCAACAAGACTAGATAGAGGAAATCCGGATTAATGCGGCCAGACAGATTGAGTATGAGAAGAGTCTTGTTATTACAATACAACAAGAACATCCGACAACGTAACTTTTAGGTCGTAGAGAAGTTTTGGAAGGCCATTTTTCCTATTGGCCAATGTGATCCTAAACATGGCAAGTGGACACCGACTTGGGAAGGGCCCTTTGTGATTCATCGCCACTTAGGCCGTAACGTATATATTCTGGCTACTTTGGATGGCACGATCAGTGAAAGATTTATCAATTCAACATATTTAAAGAAATACTACCTATCTTGGTGGGAGCAGTTGGACCCACAACATCAAGAACAGGCCAAAGAAATTGCAGCAAAACGTTATTTACGATAAGTCTCAACCTAAGGACTTCACAAGTATCAACAAGCAAAAATGATCCAATCATTCAGAAAAACCAAAACAAGAGATGCACTTGGCACAAGTCGCCATCTTTTAGAACCACACACAGGTGGCATGACCTAGGGTTGCTATTGATCTGGATTCCCTTCACCAGTACCACTTGATTCAACAGTCACAACTCCATGACTTGCACTTCAGAGAGATCATCTCCTTTCTCTGCTTCTTCAGTTGCATTGGGCAGCGAGTTTCAGCTAGAATAGGGACATCTTTCAAAGTGCCCATCAGGAAGTTCCACATCCTGGTCGCTTCTGCGATAATGGGCTGAGCATTTTCATAATGCACAGATTTTTCCTTTGTATCCTGTGCACGATCATCCCGCATGCTGATAGCCTCTGCACATTGTTGCGCGATCTTTTGGTACAAAAGATTAGCTTCTTGGTGTTGTTCTCGCACATCCTTCAAGTCTACTTCCAGTGCCACTTGTTTTGCTGCCAATTCTTTTGCTTGAGCCGCAGTTGTAGTTGCCTATTCCACCAAAGTTTTTGCTATCTTCTCAGCTTCCAGATGTGCCATGGCTGAATGGTTGTAATCTTCCACGTGCTTCACGCAGATTTCGTAGTTGATCTTTCTTTGCTCGAAATTGGCTAAAAACAGGGCAACCGTCGCTTTAACTGCTTCTAGTAGCTCACTCCCTAGGATGGTTTCCAGTGCCTATTTCAGTGACTAGTGGTACTTAGCATGGACTTGTTCTGCACTGATTTTCGACAACCCTTGCAGTTCCCTCAAAGCAGCTCCAATAGATTGCACTGCTTTGCAGGTTTTGACCACTGCAGTTGTTTCCTACCATTTTGTGGAACAAAAGCTGTTGCAACTCTTCAATTGTCAGAATGGCAGGGTGACACTGGTTTGCTTGGCACTTCTTTGTGACGTCCTGGAGCCAGGTTGCCTTTTGGGCGGCGGAGAGACATGTTACTCAAGGCTGCTAGCAGCATCTTCATCCATCGATTCTGATACTTGTTAGTGCTCACTGGCGTCCGACTCTTCCGCAGACAGGTCTACCATCTCCGCAGGTTTTTGCGACCAACACAAAGAATTACAAACAATTTTCATGGATATACACAAATGCCATTGGTTTTATGCAACAAGTCACTTACCTTGGAACTGCTGGTAGCTGTTTTCTTGGTTCCTGTCGACGGAGCATATGTCCGCCGTTTCATTGGTTGCAATGGCCCAGTGGATTTCTTCCTCTTGTGGCTCTTCTTACTTCCAGTAGCCACAGGACTCTAACCTATCACAACTGCAACGCTAGTTTCAGTGCATTAGCTCCGATATATCTCACCTACCTTTTCATTACAATACAGAATATTTGATTACCTAAGGGCCTGTTCATCCACCACATGAGGTTTCGTGATGTCTGAGTTTAGCGACGCCACCTCTTTCACAACGCATTCTAGACCCTGCGGGTACAATGTGCGCAACACTTCTTCCCAAAAGATGTACAAGAGAATCGATGCCTCCAAAACTATTTCAAAAGGGATTACTTTCCTAGAACGGCATCTACTAGCCATGATTTCCCTTTGTTCATAGTAGTCAAGCATAGTCATCTTTTCCCTACTAGAATCCCAAGTATGATTGCAACCTACGTTAAAGAAGGGAATCCCTTGCACTAATCCTAATTGCCTAGCCACCATCACAGTTGATATAAGTAATATGCTTATAACAAGAATTATGATGTCAGTGATATATGAACTTATGTTCAAGAAACATATAATAATGACAAGGTTTGAGTAAAGCCTCGATCTCGAGATAAATCTATTATTCAAGAAGGTGTTACCTCGATTCCGAGAAGATAGTAGTTGAGTAGATAAAAGTCGAGATACATCTTCTTGAACACTTTGAGTTACCAGTATGGTGAGTACTGAGTAGTAGTACGGTGCCGAGGGATGGTTGCCCCTTCGAGGAGATGTATCTCTCAAAATTTCAATCTTCAAAATTGTCTCTTGTTTCGAAGGGCTTGAGAGCTTATCTATAAAATTATAAAAGTATTAGGGTTAATCAACCATGAGATAAAAAGTATAGGGACTGAATTTTAAATTTTCTAAAATTATTGAAATTCATCTTGGTTGATCCTCCTGTCACTTGTCGGCCTGTTCATCGGTTTATTTAGGTCGGCATGGAAGTCAACAGCAGCTTCGTCGGCTTCGTTGTAGGCTGGAGTAACTCAATAAAAAAGTCGCCAGAATGGTCGTCGATCTGATCGTCGATTGGAGGCAGTTGACGTCGAAGTCGACGACGGTCAGTTTGCCCAATTTCTAAATTCTTGATTTTGGCTTTTCACGTACATGGACTTGCAGATCATATTAACCCGATGATCACCGTGAAGAACAAATAAATTCCGGCTTCTTTTCAAGAAATATTTGGTTGTAAGGACCAAACAAATCGGTCCTACTGAGCGTGCCACTTGACGAAGCATGAATCTGCATGGTGGTTAGGGAGAGCGTTGATGATGATCTATGCAGCAGGGACAGCCTAAAACCTGCAAGACAGAGCCTCGGAAATCTCCCGAGTGTAGACTTTCTGATGCTTAAGTCAATAAGGGAATAGAGAGATAATAGAGAGAGGTAGGTATGTGTGTGTGTGGGGTGTATAAGATAGGTAGAAGATGTGTATTATGGGAGAGGCACCACCTCTATATAGAGGTGGTGTTACTTGTTTCTGTAAACCTAGTTAGAATAGGTTTAGGCGGTGACTTAATCTTTACGTAATCTAACCCTAGACCCAATAGGCTTAGGGTTCAATATGAACTCGTCAATCTGGATTGCTTCTGGACATGGAAGCCGACCGAAAGAGGAGTGAGAAAAAAATAGAGAAAGAATTAAATTTTCAATTAATTGGGATAATTTTGGTATTGGCTTAAATTTTTGCCCTTACCTAAATTTTTGTTTTAGAAGAATCATAAGCCTACACAATTACTTAAACTAAAAGTGTAGGTCTAATGAATTAGAGATTAAAGAAAAATATTCACTTGTTAATGATTAGTCGTTAATTTTTGTGCCACTCGAATTGGAAAAAAAGTATTCCAAAATTTATTTTATTGTATCGAAATAATATAACAAGTATTCGAGTATTTTTGTGAGAGGAAGAGCCTTTTTTCAAAACCGAAAACAAAACAAAGATTGGAAATCTTACAGCCATCATGATGTGTGTAAAAGCAGTGTTGTTAAACTCGGCTTGGACCGGCCGGTCGAATCAGTGTAATCGAAAACCAGATCCCAGTCCGAGCCGAGCCGGTCATACATTCGGCTATGCAAGATTCGGTCAAAATCGGTCAGAACTCCGTTTAAACCGAAAATTGGTCAAAACCGGGTCGACTCGGATTTTGACTTTTGGGCTTGTTTTTAATTTTTTAATATTTTTTCTGCACTACTTTTGAGATGTAATTATTCTGATTTTTATACTTTTAGTCTTCAACTAGATTTTCTATGTTTTAAATGACCCATTACTTTATATTTATGTGATTAAACTCTACTTTTGAGATGTATTTGATATAATTTTCAATTTTTAGCCCTCAATTAAATTCTCTAATTCTTAAATGACCCATAACTGTTATATTTTTATATTAAACTCTTAATTCCAAATGTGTAAGTCTAAAATTTTAATTTAACTATTCATCCAACGTCACATGTGTAATTTTGCATTAACCATTATTTTGAACTAAATAAAATTTATAGCCAAATAAATTAAAAAATCATTCATTGTAATTTTCTTATAATAATAAAAGTCATTTGTATATATTAAATTAATTAATTTCTAATTATAATAGAAGTTAATTTAAACTAATAGTTCAATTAATGTCATAATTTTGTTTCACCATAACTTATTTCATAGTTATAAAACACTAATTTGATTTTAACAACTAAGAAATATATATGTATTTTATAAAAAATATAATTATTAATTTATTACGTTATTATGACGTTATCCGAGTCGACCCCCAATCAATCGATCCCTGGATAATGCCGAGTCGAGCTGCGATCCGAGCCTGACAACACTGTGTAAAAGTGCCAACTCAGCCTATAAAAAATGCAATAGAAATTGGAGCTCCATAAAACAAAAATAAAGAAAGTAACACCAATAAGAATAATAAGAGTAATTCCATAGAAATGGGCATTTGGGCAATGTTGACCACCAAACTTCCCAACTCCCAACCACCAACCTTCCGTCCTCCTTCGAGTTTCTCAATTCAGACCACGAAAATGTCAACAAAAATCATCCCCTCTCCCCACCCCCTTTTTTTTCTGTTGTTGTTTCTTTCATGGGGAAAAAATTAAAAAATATGTGTGTATTATTTTTCGAATAATCAGACAAACTATATAATGAGAATGGAGAAAAAGCATAGGAAACGTATCACGTTCACAAACTTCTCCTACCACCAGAAAAACCAAAGACAGAGACTTGTGAGCAGAGGGAATTCACCATCACGATTTCTCCATTTTGTAATCATACCCCATCTACCCCTTTTGGAAGTTTTGCTGATTACTCCAAAGTAAAAACTTAAACAAGTAGAAATCAGAGAGGGGTTCTTGGTTTTTCCATCCTTTTTAATATTTATTATCTATTTTTTTGGAGGTGTAGAATTCGGACTCTGTGGAAGTTTCAACTTCATCTCTGTTTGATTTGAGGTCTGTTTGATTCATCCCTTGTTTTCCTCTGACAAGTTATTGTTGTTACTGTTATGATTAGTCTGTTTGGAGGAGGCATTTGGGCTTTTCTTAGTTATATAGTTTTATGATGAAGAAGAGGAGTAAAGAGTTTTCTTGTTTTGTGAGGGAACAAGAGATATGAATAAAATGCAATAGATGGATTTAGTTTGTTCTCGGGGAAGAATGCAAACAAATGGTCGGTGGCTAGTTTGTTTTATACATTGAAAGAAATTGATATCATATGTTTTAGAATTGATGTACCTTTTTTCCACTTTTTAGTTTTCCTTAACTTATAAGGTGGATAAAAATTATAGTATTCGATTAGTTATCTGTAGAGTAACTTTTATGAAGATCACAAGTTCTGCAAAATCTTTTTTATCAATCTACTGACTGCACTTCGGCAGAAAAGTGTGATCAGTTACTTTGTATGAATGGATTTTAAATACTTGAAAGGGAATCCAGACCCCCTGCTTGAAAAATGTTTCTGGTTTGGGTGGGATGATATATGTTCACAATCAGTCCTTCTTGAAACTAGAATATGTTTGATCCATTGTTATCTATAATGCTAAATTTTGCTCACCTCATTTCAATCCTGGGCTTCGAAAGTCACCTTGCTGGTCTGCTGCTTTGTTACTTTTCGATTGACTGATTGTAATAGTTGGGGTTTTAGGGACTCTCTCATTTCTCCTTCCTGCTGTTGTAACTCTTATAGAAGGCTCCTGCAAGCTTTTTTTGGTAGTTGCTTCATGTTATAGTAATATTGCAGTATACATTTACAATGTGCATAATTAGGCCGTACATTTCATTCTTGGCGACATTTTGATGGATACAAAAGCTAAATTCAGAAATATGAATCAGGCTGTTAATGGAAATGACTGTCTATTAATATGCTGAAAAGATATGTGAGGTTGCCTTGGAACACTTGGACAACATAAGAAGTGTGAAAGGAATGCATTTATTAGATCATACAGGTGATTAGACACAGTAATTGCTTCAATGACATTTGGTGGCTGTTTTATCTGACAAGAGATACAGCTGTGATTATGGAATGAACCTTAAAAGGAACTATTACTTCTGTGGATAAGCCTTATTACACCTCTGAAAGCTGGAAAGTGGAAATTCTGTTAATGTTCTTAAGAGTATCCTTTGTAAGGCGTCTGATAGTATTGTAGATGGTGTTTTAATAGTTCGTGGTTTCACGCTCATGTGCCAGCAAGCCTGATTTTTCTATATTGGTCCTGTCAATTATGTATAAAATCGCACCATGATGGTAGACTTAAAAATTGATTACGAAGACTTCTTATTTTTACGATATATAGTGAACAGTTCTATTGTTTATCCAATTTTTTTGCATGCTGTTGACCTTTTGGAATAGGGTTTACCAAATTCACTTATGGTATTGTTTGTAGTCAATTGAAATTATGTTCCGTAATTTTGTTTTGTGGAGGGGTTCCTTAGTTACGACGCCGACACATTCTTTTTTCTGATATGTTCTTGCCACTCCTTGCAAATGAACCTTTTCACTTGTAATCAGAACAACAATAATTTGTTAACATGTCAAGCAGTTCTGGATAGTAGATTCTTTTTCGGGATGTTTGAGGTCTTGAAGAACACTTCATAGATTCATCAATGCTTCTCTCTATTTAAAGTGTATGAAAAGAGAAGTAATATTCACTATGGGTATGTATGCATACCTTTCTCCAAACACCAATTAAATCCTTTTGCCTCCGAAAGCGTGTGCTGGAATTAGTATACTTTTGACGGGATCAGGATTTGGATCATTGGTTTTCTGATGTTGATCTTCCCATACTTCTTTTTCTTAAATTTCTTTTTTTTTTTATCTGGGTTTTCCCTTCATGCATTGATTGGATTGAAAACCAGCAGTGGATTTCTTATGAAATAATTAACTTCCAAGCACTGATTTCTGTCTGCCATTCTTCCAGTTCTTGCTTCCACTTTTACAATGTCAAGCTTGGAGGAGCCTCTTGCTTTGGACAAGTTTCCAAATTTGAACAACATTGACCTTAGTAGATTTTCCTCCAGTGCTTGCCGTCCTATACGAGAAGATTTGGGAATGGGACAATGCTGGATTCAAGGCAGAAATTGCTTCTCATCTAATTCTTGCGAGTAAGTTGTAAAATTATTTGCTCTTACTCTTTTGCATATCCTTCAGGAACCTAAGCAACATACTCATATTGTGAAACTATATTTTTTTTTATGTAGTAACCCTTTGGCTCCGGGGGGGGGAAGGTGGGGAGGGAAATGATGGGGGTGGGGCCGCTGGTGAAGTTGGTGTGGGGCATTGAGGACTAGGATTGCATTTGGCTGCTGATAGTGATGGATTCAATTAAAGCTGGTTGTGGGAATTGAACTTTCTAATTGTGCATGTTCTTGATCCATTGCTGATTGTTAGCAGTTTTATTATTCTGGTATAGCTTATCTTAGTATCATCAAATAGCAGCCTTCACTGGTTTAGATTTTTAATTTCTGGAAACAAAAAATTTGTCTATAGTCAGTTGCTTTTGGCTTGATTATATCAAGCTATTTGTTCTTTCAGGGAAGATATTGAAGTGCACGATAGAGAACAATTCAAGTGGCCAAGACAGACTAGAGATTCCTCACAGGGTGATATTCCCCACCGAAGGACTTTAAGTCTAGGAAGAAACCGAATGCTTAATGGAACCATAAGCGCCTCACTGCATTTGTCGGATTGCCAATGCAATTCCTGCAACTACCCCGGAATCATGCCATATAAGGTCCTTTTTTCCCCTTACTTTTCTTTTTTCTAACAAGGAGTATTTTTTAAATTTAATAAGGCATGACACACTCGCTTAATATTACAATTTCTGTATAGCATTTTGTTAGAAGAATCACTTTTATATATATTCCTTAAATCCTTCGGTATGGTAACAGAGTATTGAAGAAGCAAAAAATTAATAGATTCTGTATGTAATATATAATCACGGATCTTTTCTTTGATTCTGGCAGTTGCTAAGAGATATGCCGAAGTATGTTAAGATAGTTGAAGTGGGCCCCAGGGATGGCCTTCAAAATGAGAACAACATCGTCCCAACATCAGTAAAAGTTGAATTTGTTAGTAAACTGGTTGCTTCAGGATTGCCTGTGGTTGAAGCAACAAGTTTTGTTTCCCCCAAATGGGTACCTCAGGTAATTCTTTTCACTGGCTTACATATTTTTGAATACACGGTTGGCAGGCTGCAGTTTCCTCTTGGATTTTGCAACATTTCCCCATCAGGCAGTGATCTCATTAAGATGCAGTACCATGTCGGTAGCTTCCTGAGTTTGATGAATATTAAAACTATATCTGTAGTCAATTCCCATGTGTAAGTTACTGTGTTATACTAAGAACAAAGAAATACTGTTGTTGTGTAAGAATGGTAGGGTCCCACTGATAGATTTTCAAACTAACGTTTAATTCACTATATGAACATGTATTGGCAGCACTACATGTGTCAACAAATACCACACGGTTGGGAATTGTGAAACAATGTTTGAAGAATCATCCGTCAATAAGAACTCTGTTTACAATAAAACCCACCAAACTTCTCTGTTGATCATGTAACCTTTCAGTAATTTTCGTTGAACTAGGATGTACAGGGTTGATTTAAAGCCACCAATCAAATAGTATGATTGGATTGTAGAATCATATATCCTGCAAACAATGAAATAGAGTCATAATTTAATGATTTTGCTACTGAATTATCATGAGATTTAAGTGATGAATATTTTATTTATTTATTTATTTTTTTTGAAATTGGTACATGATATTAATCAGAAGTACCTATACGATTACATCTGACATGTATTATAAGGCATACTATGTAGGTCATCTAATTCATCTACTTCATCGTTAAATAATTTAAATTTAAATTTTTTCTATACCTACAATTTCTCTATGGTACTATAGTAGTATAGTTGTGTTATTAATTAGATAAGTGTCCCCGTTTGAGGCTAATTTAGTCCAATTTGTTATTCAAACACATGAAGTGATACACTGTAAATTTTATGACGTCTTTGTTAACTTTCTTTGTACATAGAGTTATATATGCAAATAGGGGATTGTTCTTGTAAATTTGGTTGGTATTGTTGGGAGATTGATGAGATCAAAGTTGGATTCTAGTTATAATAGTTAAGAATCCTTTTGATTCACATGACCAGCAAACATATGGAGTTGTCAATGAAGGGGAAAAAGCACTAGCATATTATGACTAGAAGCAAAACTGCATGAAAACTTCCTCTAATGTTAACACCGTGAATCAGAAAATGCAGGATACTTCTGGACTAGCTCACCCAATGTACAAAAATAGTACACAATTATTAACAAATAGTCATTAAATCTTGTAATATTCTTAGGAGCCATATGTAGTTCTGGCCTGACCAAGCCTGAGAGTTGATTTTACAATGAGGGTCCTGTATTCAACTGACTAGCCTTTAAATATATCAAGTTTGGATGGTTTTTGTGTTACTGGGCCTAGTCCTTTATATCAACTGACTAAGCTTTTCATCTCTGTGCTAGTCCTTTGTGAATTTGTCTTTCATTAAGTACTATCGATGTTTGTACTTGCTCAATTGTATGATTGATTGCAACCTGCATTTCGATTTTATTTTTATTGAAATTATGGGTCTTATCATTCTTTCCCTTCTACATAGTTGGCAGATGCTGCTGATGTAATGAAAGGAGTGAAAAGCTTGGAGGGTACCAGGTTACCTGTATTGACACCTAATCTGAAAGTGAGTAGGGTTTGCTTTTGAGTTTCCAATTTTTTATTTGGAGGCATTCCATGATAGTAATGCTAAAAATTTTACAATCATATTCCAGGGATTTGAAGCTGCAATAGCAGCTGGGGCTAAAGAAATAGCTGTATTTGCATCAGCTTCTGAGTCCTTTTCAAAGTCCAACATCAATTGTAGCATTGAGGAAAGTCTTGCTCGCTATCGTGCAGTCACCAGTGCTGCCAAAAAGCTTTCAATTCCAGTTCGAGGGTATGGGATATTTAAAGTTCTGGTACTCCTAAATTAGATAGATACGAAGTTGGCATTCTCATGCAGAATTTCCAAGTCATTATCGTGCCACATTTGTTTTTATTTGTTTAATTTTGGCAGGTACGTGTCTTGTGCGATTGGGTGCCCGTTTGAGGGAGCCATTCCCCCTTCGAAAGTTTCATACGTGGCAAAGGAACTTTACGAGATGGGCTGCTTTGAAATCTCTCTTGCTGACACAATAGGGGTTGGTACTCCAGGTAACTTTTCAACTCTAGATACCAACGAGGTATGTCAATTAGGACCATTGCATCATCATCTTCTAGGATGAGAAAACTGTTTCTTCTCTTCTTTAGTTTTCACTTTCCCAACTTTAATAATCTTTCTCACTTTGTTTGACACATTCACTTTTACAAGGGATTTCTCAACTAACTGTTTTCTCAGTTCTGCAACATGCATTTGCTTCATTGCAAAGTTTTTGCTAGGAAATATTTCAGAAGAGTATTAAGCTTTATACAGTTCTTGATTAAAGGCATTTTGGAAACCTGATTACTATTGGCTTTCTGCAGTGCTGGTTTTCTCATAAATGAACCTAGTGTGTTCAAATCAAACTGTTGAACATGGTTTTGTATCTCTCTCTCTGGTTTTGTTCTTTCTGTAGCTCTATCCTATTAAAAAAATACTCCAGAACTTTACCTGTTCACTTAACCAAAATTTCCCCGTTGTCACCATTTTTTCACAATTCAGGATGCGCGGATTTTTTACTATAATTAAATTTTCCTTTGCCTTAGCTCAAAGCCTTATCTCGAGCAAACTTAGGTGACTCAAGTGTGTGTACCAAAAAGAATATCATGAACAAATTTTTCCTCTCCATGGGGGATCATATATTGGAGAAGAATGGTGGATCCGACATATTCTAAATCCCCTGATATCAGATTAAAAATTGAGCTGATGACTGCTTTTCCCTTTTCTTTTCTTGTAGTAATTATGACTCTCTTCCTGCGTGTCAAATCTTTTTGTACTCTTTGATAGGATCCGTTCTTCCAATGCTTGGAGCTGTAATGGCAGTTGTTCCAGTGGAGAAGCTTGCTGTCCACTTCCATGACACCTATGGGCAGTCTCTTCCGAACATATTGGTCTCACTCCAAGTAAGGCTTTTTCTCCTTCCTCGGTTTCTGGAGGACAGTTAAATTGGTTCGGTATTTAAAATGTATTGCCATCTTGTCGACAGATGGGGATCAGCACGGTGGATTCCTCTGTTGCTGGTCTTGGTGGGTGCCCATATGCTAAGGGGGCTACCGGAAATGTGGCAACAGAGGATGTGGTATACATGCTCCATGGCCTCGGTGTAAAAACCAATGTGGATGTGGGAAAACTTTTGCTCGCTGGCGAGTTCATCAGCAAGCATTTGGGTCGCCAATCGGGATCGAAAACAGCAATTGCCTTGGGCCGGAAAAAAGCCAACTTTTGTTAGAAGATATAAACAGTATAGCAGCCGGTCCGGATATTCATGCTATATGGATGGAAGGTGTGGAAATAAATGTTCGTCTTTGCACTTCCATGTATCCAGTTGTATTCTGTTGAACACAGAAGTAAAGAATGGAACCTGAACCACATTGTTATGACAATTATTGTTTTAACTTTCAAGAGACCAAGAAATACAAATATTATTAATTTGATTAATCATACGAGAATAAGGATCGAATCGCATTTTTACATGTCAACCCGGCGACAATGTAAATACTAGTTAAGACTTCAGAGGAAAGTCAGTCAACTTTTAAGATCGCGATGGTTCAAATCCTACCCCCAAATAATCTTTCATGAGTGTTTGGTACTCTTTCTGTTCCGAATTAATTGTCTCATGTGAACTTTCAATTTTAATACACTATACATTAAAAATGAAATTTTAAATTAGACGATTATTTTGTGACAGAGAAAGTAACTTTTTCCTGTTTAAAGTACTTCTCTCCGCCTTAATTATAAGACATAAACTAACATTAAAATTCGTTCAAATGTGTGTCTTATAACTAGGTCCAAGAGTGTCAAATGATAGAAATTATACATTTTAGAAAGTTGGATAATAAATTATGAATAAATAAATCTCCAAAATAAAATTAGATGCTTATATTGTATTATTATTCCCTCCGTTCCGAAATTACTGTCCAGTTTGGATCTTCATTAAAACTGAAAATTCAAATTGGACAATAATTTTGGATAAAGGATACATAATTTTATTTGAGTATTCTCAGTCCTAAAATAATTATAAGTTAGTCCTGAAAAAATAGTTTCAATCGAGTTTTGATTTGTATCAATTTTAGTATCAATTTGAAAATTAGAGGTGGTCTATTTTCCCTCGAGTAAGAGAGTATAAAAATTTCACAGAAAAATTGGCAAATCTACCCAAAACTTTACATAGATCGTCAATTCTACCCTATTCTTTTTCGGTTAGCCAATATTACCCTAAACTATCCAACCGTTAGCCGATTTTGTCCAATTTACTATTTTCCGTCTAAATTTACGGAATTCTATTTGTTTTAATTACAAAAATACCCTAATAGTTTTAAAAATTTATAAAAAAACCAAAAAAAATTACAAAAATTACAAAATAGTTTCTTTTCAGTTTTTATTTAAATTTTTCTTTTTTTTTTAATTTCTTTTTACTATTTTTCATAACCATAAAAATATATTATATGATCTTTTAAAGAATAGGATAATATTGGCTAATCGAAAAAAATAGGGTAGAGTTGATGAAGCATGTAAAGCTTTGGGTAGATCCACCAATTTTTCCAAAATTTCACAAGCAATCTCAAAAGCAAGGAAAGGAAACAGTACAAAAGTAAATAGTCCCGCTCCATACTTCTCTTTTATTAACAGAAGAGAAGCCGTAAAAGCCCAGAAACAGAAGAAAAAAACACAAACCCCGCTGCTTTTCCCATACCAACGCTAATCCTCCATTCTTCTGAAACGCAAGAAAAGGAGAGAGTGATCAAGGTACGTCGAGATATCAAAATTGTTGTTTGGTTACTCTTCTTCGCAATCGAAAAATTTTTATTCTGAGCTTAAAAATTGTGGAAATTTAAATTGCCCTAACTGTTGTACTGTGCTTATTTATTCCTTCCGATTTCCTTTTTGGTAGAGTGGAAGAGCATATAATATTCCATTCCCATGGCCATTGATGAGCTTGAATTTCGTCGCATTTTGGCCCTTTTTCCCGTCGTCCGTTATCGCGATTTTTGCGTGAGTCTCTATGATCCCATATGTGGAATTTACTCATTGTTTATCTATGCTGTTGTTTCTGCTTTGCTTTTGATTTATTGAACGGTGGAATTAGGATGGTTTATTGCAATTCTAGTTTTCTATATTAAAAATTTGCTAAGAAAATGTAGGATTAAGAGTTATGCCTGGTTGGGATGTCGACTCTGCCTATTACGGCAAGTGGGAACTTGATGTAGAAATTGTCTTCTTGTTTCTTATCTTTCTTTGATGATTACGCTTGATGAGTTAGGACAGTTGATGGGAAGGTCGAAGAAATGAAATACTCAAGTTCTATTGATTGTTGATTGCATTTTATTTTAGATTATCTCTTGGGTTGTTTGATGGAGGTGCAGGACATCAGACTGTCTGCTTAAAAGGATAGACTTGATTTTTCTGTGTAAATTTAACTGGACCTATATTATTCTTCTTTTTTCTTTTTTTGCTGTTGTGAGCCTTGGAAAAATGATTTTCATTTTCTGATTAGGAGATCATATCTTGAAGGGAATGATAGTTTTTGTAAGTCTTAAAATGAAATTGTTCTATCTGGAAACTTCAGCTTAAGGTGCCGAAGCTAGATATTGCATGTTTACCAACTTTTCAATTTACAATCTGCAGCTTGACTTGGATTCTGCTGGGCAATCAACTTCCGCATCTGTAGAGTATAAAGTGGTATGACATGGAATAAAAGTATAATATTCATATTACAACTTATTTTATGTTCATTCCGTATGACCAGTCTTTATGTACTGGAAACATTACATTAGGTACCTGAAAGGCACCGTGGGGAGGAAAAGGATTCAAGTTCTCAGTTGAATGATTCTCATGGTACGTAAATTTAGTTTAAGTTCCATTTTGTAAGTTTTGTGATTTGTTGCTTGGGTGAATTGAGTTATTTAAAGGTTAGACTTCGATGCTCGTCGGGTAGGAGTCAACTAGTCTTTTCGGTTACATTTTGTTGTCATGATTTCTGAGATGAGGAAAAGAAACTAGTTTTTTCTCCAAGTGTCCCATTTAAGCACTCTGATATGCAAAATGATCTTTCATGTCTAGAACTTACATAACTTAGATTTCCAATTTAAACAAATCAGTCTTTGGTGTTTATATTGCTGTTTTTCGAACTCATTTTTCCGTCTCATTTTTACATTAAGCCAGAAACAAGAATTCATATCTAAACAACACACACTTAGTAGATGAAACTTATTCCAACTTTTCCTGTTCTGCTTTTAAACAGCTGCATTTTGGGACAAACTGAAGTCTTCTGCTGAGAAAAAGGTATTATGCTCTTTTCCTTAACCTGTTTCGTTGGGTAATCAGTGATTTTTCTTTATAGTTGTGGTTTGTACACAAAAAGCCGAATCTGAAATTGTTCGTCAACGGGATTGGGATTTAAGTGTAATCATTTGTGTCATGTTTTACTTGTAATTCACATGTTCATAGACCGGATACTTAACATTATTGGTCCATGTTAAAAACCTGAAAAATGAGCTGCTGAACCCATTCTGGCATCAAAACAGATACCAATGTGACTTTCGCAAGCTTCTTAAAATAAATACAGAAACTTCTTGGGAAACGAGACCCCAATTCCAGGATATAGGAAAAGGTAATTTTATTCCACAATATCAACCAGACAACATAAGTGCTGGAATATTTGCCTCGAAGTCCTTTAGAATTTTAGATTCCTAAGCTCCAAGTTCCTGGCTCTTATAAAAACTTTATTTAAGAAGCTCCTAAAAGTCTTCTAACAAAAAACTTTCCTAAAAGTAAAATTGTTTGTATTCTAATATCTGAACGTGTTCCTGCGTGATTATTACAGTCTTCTTGGATCACAAAGCTATTGCCATTTGACCTGAAATATAGCCTGTAGTAGTTTGGATTAGGTACATAGGCCTTGCACATACCGGAGCTTGAAACTTCCCTTCCTTTTTGGTAGTTAGATCAAACAACTTAGATTATTCCTTTGATAAGAAAGCTTTGTCATGGATGAGAAGGCAACAGGGGGTTTTTACCAGTTAAAGAAAAATTTCGAATTTAAACTTTAAAAAATACTAAAAAGAAAAATGCCGTGTCTTCCCAGTGAAGGAGAGAGAGTTTGACAAGCTGGTGCAGCTAAGAAAGTCTTGTTGAAAGCAGGAACGAACCCTCTATTCGGTACCAGAAAGTTTTCTCCCTGAGGCATCTATAGGCCCTGAAAACACCGGCAATGCTGCATCTTAGATGAGCTAGAGGTCAAAAACTGATTACTTCTATCTTTTAGCGAAGAAAATTCCATAGTAGAGCTACGAAACCACACTATGAAAAGCTGGCTATCGAGAAAGAAAAATCATATGTTAAATGATGATTCTCTAACAGACGGCTTCATCATCACGATTGCGACTTCTGAAATGTTTTTGATCGTTGTACCTGAGCTTCCTTGTTTGTCTTGTTGTTCCTCTGATTTTTTGCTCATCCTATTTTTATCTCTGCACATCAAAAACTTGACTCATGGATTCTTAATCTCACTTAATGAAATGTGTAAACTATGAAATGATTGTAACAGAATCTGTGTTGCATTCTCACCAGAATATATGTTTCACTTGTTTGGCTCCTTTAGGAATGTTATTCTTTTATCTTTATGGCCCGCTTCATGAAAAGAGTTAGAATGGACTCACAGGATCTGATGTACTGGACCTGATATGTTTCCTTCTTTCTTTTTGGGTTTCAGTTAGGTCCAAATGATGCAGAAAAGTTTTGCAAGGCATTTCAGCAAGTTTATAGGAGACTGGTAAGAAAGAATTATAATTCAGTTGGTCACGTTGTTATTCTTACTATGTTTTCATTTTTTTAAATTTATTTTCTTCCGAGTGCTTCTGGGCCATTTTCTTCCCACCCCTCTCAGCAATGTTTAGATGACCAAATTCTGTTTTCTGTTAGGTACATGAAGAACTGAGTCTAGAAGCTGCTCAGGCCTTTGTAAACTATTTGGGAAAATGAGAAAACCCTAGATGCTTGTTTTGACTTCATTGTAGAAAAAAACGAGTTGTTTCTTTTCTTTAAATGTAGGGCTTTGACTCCATGTACCAAGGATTGCATTGTATCTCCTTGACTCGTTAAGTTTGAACTTCTGAGCGGAATGAGCTTCATTGTTTTTTATTTCCCCCCTCTTTTGTCTCTTAGCATTTATATGCTCTCACTATAATCTTTACCCTAAACTAAGAGTCTTATATTTTGTAAGTATAAAAGTGGATTGAATTAATTCGAAATTTTTGTCTGTATCTTTTATGCATGTACCAACCGTACCATAAGTACTACTTTTGAGACAACTGTAAACTGTGAAGAGCAAGAGCGAAAGAAACAAGATTGCTAAGTTTAAAGCAAGGAGGAACAAAGTACTTACAAGACTGTCAAGTTTAGAAATCGTTCTTTTTTACAATTTTGTGGGAGGAGCTTCAGGTTTCGATTTCTAAACTTAACAGTCTTGTTAGTACTTCGTTCCTCCTTGCTTAATGACAAAGAAGCTTATCTGTAACAAAGTTCCTTCTTACTAATCGAAGTCGTACTGTTAAAAGAAATATGAACGCAAAGATAGAAAGAGCCTCACTGCCTCAGGCTGAGATTTCCAGTAAACTTGAGAGTTGACTTGGGCAGTACCCCTTGAACAAGAAAATGGACAGGCTCAAAAAGTTTTGAACTTTCTCAATGTTTGACAGAGTCAAATGTCTAATTACATGTTTTCACAGAAATCATTCACACGCTTTCGCCTTGAAAATGAAGTGAACATCAACGATCAAATTTTACAAATGAATTTGAAAACTGGCTAAATGAATGACTATTGTTCCATCGACTGACCAATTGAAATCACACGGTGACAATTGAATCGTTGACAAAAAGCATTACAACAATATTTTCCTTGAACAAAATTAGTACCTCCTCTGTTCCGAATTTATCATTCAGTTCGGATTTTTATTTTTAGTTCAATATATACTAATGTTGAAAATCCAAACTGGATCATAATTTTGAGTGGATGAAGTATGTCCAAATGGTTAATTACAATAAATTTATATATATATATATATATAGCGACTACGGTTCAGTCATATGTTAAGAACCGTAAGATATAATAGGAAAGATGACGGCCATTAAATTAGAATAAAATAATAGTGTTTAAGAAGTTGATAGAACCTATTGCACTGTATCATTCTCCCTCAATCAGGGAAAAAAAATATTTTTAAAATTTCAGAATTTTAGCCAAGCATCCCATGTTCTCAAGATCACTACGATACACACCCACATAATTTTTTTCGACGAACTCCTACTCATCTTCAATGTCAAATTTAATCTTATTTCTGAAATACTCGTCCAGATTTTTTAGGCTAATAAAACAATTCAATAACAATTGTACATCATCATCTACGCAGAAATTAGCCTTTTTCCAATTTTTATTTATGCTAATCCCCTCGACGTGTAATTCAACTGAAGATTTCAATCACCGATAAATTAATTTAAATCAAAGAGAGGATACAAACATGAATAAGATTTAGAGGAATCTGTGTAGTTTGTTCAAAAAATGGAAAAAGGGTTAAGTTTCCAGTCAAAATGTTGCTTCAATTACAAAATTGTTTATTGCTTTCTATAATTTTCAATTGTTACTAGAACTGAGCTCAATACAATATTTCAATGGAATTATGGAAATACTTCCTAAGAAAATACAAAAAAATAACAGAGAAGATAAGACAGAATCAGTCAGTGAGCATTTTCGGAAGACGCAGGGTCGGAAAGGATGCAGTATTTCCGATGACATGGGTTGAAGATAAGGAGGCTTTTAATTATTCTTTTCTTTTGATTATTTAAAACTGTGTAATCAATTATCCAATTAATAACAAAATTAAGGGTTAGAAAGAAATTTGTTTGAATACTTCTTACCCCATTATTGCATATGACATGTTACGTTTTGATTGGATGTGTATTAACTGAATGGTCTAGTCAAAATTTAATGATTGGACTATAGAATTTCCCTATATATATATATTTCCATAAAAATCTCACAGTCCATCGGTGGATTATTTGCAATGACGATGAGTTATGCAATGAAATTGAACGTCTCATTTGCTTTCAACATTATTACCGCAGCGCACACATATTCTCAAGCAAACTTCACTCTATATTACTGTTCCAATCGTGCCGGGAATTATACCCAAAACAGCAATTACCAATCTAATCTCAACACCCTTTTATCTTCGGTTTCATCCACCAGCATTAGCCCTTACGGATTCTACAACGCCACTGCCGGCGAAGATCCGAACAGAGTTTACGCAATCGTGCTGTGCAGGGGAGATGCCAGCATCCAAGACTGCCAAACCTGCGTCCATGATTCCGGGACCAAGATCTCAAAAGTTACTTAGGGTTTCTTGTACGGAAGCCATGGAATTATGACAAGAATTAGAAAAGAAGAAGAAAACTATTTTTGTATTGATTAAGTTGTAAGTACAGACGGTTAACACCGTATTTATACACATACTGAGTAATCGCCTTACTATTAATACTAAGGACTAAAAAGTACAAATAAGTCCCTATAGTTATAGAAAAAATATAAAACTGGTCTCTGACCAAAGCATCAAAACAACAGTTGCTCTTTCTTGTCAACCTAGATCTTCTGGTTCAAGTTCCTCCAATCTTGGAACCCTCAATTCTTGCTTCAACTGTAATATGCCCCCTTCAAGCTCAGAATTTGGATGATGTAAATCACTAAGACTGAGCTTGGACAGCAGAAAGAGAAAATATGGAGAATGGAGGGACTTGGTAAACAAGTCTGCGGGCTGAAGATGAGAGGGAATATAAAGAGGATCGATGAAGCCAGACTTATACAAATTGCGCACAATATGGCAATCAATGTCTAGGTGCTTTGTTCTTTCATGGAAAACATGATTAAGTGTGATATGCAGTGCTGATTTGTTGTCACAGACAAAAGGAATAGGAAGAGGAACTTGCAACCTGAGATCTGACAGAATGTAATATATCTACTGCAACTCACAAGAAGTGCTAGCCATACTCCTATACTCAGCTTCACAAGAAGACCTTGAAACCGTAGTTTGCTTCTTAGTCTTCCAAGAAATTAAAGAATTTCCAAGAAAAACACAGAATCCAGTAAGAGATAACCTGGTGTTGATGCATTTTGCCCAATCTGCATCACAAAATACTGACAAGGTGAGATCATTCTTGCTGGAATAAAATAGACCCAGTGAAGGTGTTCCTTTTAGATATCTAAGTACATGAGTGACTGCTACCCGGTGAATATCCTTTGATGCTTGTAGAAACTGACTGAGTTGCTGAGTAGCATGTGCTAAATCAAGTCTGGTAACTCCTAAGTACAAAAGTCTTCCAATGTGTCTTCTGTACTTGCTAGGATCAGAGTAGAGTGGACTATGCTCATCTTGCATGTTCAGATCTTTGGGCAATGGAGCTGAAACAGGTTTGCATCCAAGCATTCCTGTAGTTTCCAATATGTCTAAGACATATTTCCTTTGATTCAGCATAATACCTTCTGATGACCTGGCAACTTCTACCCCAAGGAAGTATTTTGCTGGACCTAGATCCTTAATGCTGAAAGCTTGATCCAAATGCCTTTTAGTTTGGAGAATCATAGCTTCTGAAGTGCCTGTTATCAAAACATCATCCACATATACCACTAAAAACAAACAGAAATCTGATCCAAACTTCATGAATAAACAATGATCATGTGGAGATTGTATAAAACCATGCGCCTCAAGATGCTTTGTAAACTCCTGATTCCACTACCTGGATGCTTGCTACAAACCGTATAAAGACCTTTTCAATTTACACACTTGGCCAGGCTGAGTAACTCTATACCCTGGTGGAACCTCCATATAAACTTCTTCATCTAGATAACCATGTAAAAACACATTATTTATATCTAGTTGAGGCAATGACCAACTCTTGGCTGTTGCAATGGCAAATAAAATTCTGACAGTGACTAGCTTAGCTACAGGAGAAAAGGACTCAAAAAAATCTTCTCCTTCTACCTGAGTGTAACCTTTGGCAACCAACCTTGCCTTGTATTTTTCAACTATCTCGTTTGGATGATATTTCACTTTGTACACCCATCTGCAACCTATGGGCTTCTTCCCTGGTGGCAATGTGGTGATCTCCCAAGTTTCATTGTCTTCTAAGGCTGTTAATTCCTTGTTCATTGCTTCTATCCACTCAGGTGCATGTTGAGCCTGTAAATAAGAGTTAGGTTCTGGTACCTTTGACACATTTGCCAGGAAGCTGAGTGATGTAGATTTCTACCCGAAATTCCCAAAATCGGAAGCGAAACACATGGATAGGAACGGTAACCCTTGCCTCGGACTTTACCATTCTACAAACACTCTTTCAGGAGTTTATTAATAGACAATGAAGCACTGGATGGTGGCAAAATCCCCAGTAACCAAACTGATTTTCAGAATACATGCAAAGCCGACGAAAGTAGTAATTATAACAAAAAATGAACCCCAGGCAAACGACGTCGGATTTCCCTGAAAATTTAACACAATACTTATATTATGGAATTAAAATTTATGGCAAATTTTGAGTGTATTTGGACGCCTACAGCCCCAGTAACCAAAATGGGCAGTAGCTAAATGGATTTGGACCAATCTGCCACAGAAAATATATTGGATTCGTTTATATAGTAAACAAATTTATTTTGACCTGAAATTTGGACAAAATATTTCCAATACACTGAAGTTAAAACCCACAAGATTTCAGAAATTTTGGACAACTAAAAGTACTAAAACAAAAATTGGGAAAACAGACTGACCCTAAGTGATACAACCTGGAGTCATGCAATGTTTGGCTTAATAAATTGACACCCCTGGCCTACTAAACCCTTTTAGACTTACAAGATAGGATTTTCAGAAAATATGAAGTCAAACACATGGAGCACGCAGGCAGAATCGAAGACGCAAGGATCAATCGCAAGATATAACCATGAA